TCGACCGGAGATATCTGGCTCAAGCCCTGGTGGTGCTGCTGTCCGGCCGGGCTGAGAGTTGGTTCCGCACGAGCGGACTCCAACAAGCCAGCTGGGCCGAGGTTCGCCGCGAATTTCTAGATTTTTTCCTGCCACCGCGGTATTATCAACGACTGGAGGACGAGATCCGGACGCACCTGCAGCGACCCAACGAGCCGTTCAAGAAATACTTAGTGGATCTTCGCTTGCAGATGCGCCGAGCTGGATTCTCTCCGGACCGGGAGTTGGAGCGCGTCTACGACAACATGCTGCCGGAGTACCAGCTGTTCACCCGAAGACAGGACTTCCGCACCCTGGCGGAGCTGACCCACCTGGTAGTGGACTACGAGGTGACGCGCAGCCGGAATAGAGGCCAGGATCATCGCTCTCCGAGCCCTCGACCGGAAGCTAGACGCAACTATGGGACGGAAGCCGGGCAGACGCCGCGCCGTGCCCCACCAGCAGCCCCAGTGGGCAACCCTTTCAACGGAGGTACCAGCCGAAACGCGAACACAAGCCAGAGCACAGCCTCTCTTGCCACATCGGAGCCAGTCAACGCCCGCGACGCCTGCCGCAACTGCGGCCAACCGGGACACTTCTCAGCCGAGTGCCGGAACCCCCGCATCATTTTCTGCTGGGACTGCGGGCGCAGAGGAACCCGGACTATCGATTGCTGTCGGCGTGCAGCATCGGGAAACGGGAACGGGCCTCGAGTGACCGGGAATCACCCGGGGAACCCGTCCAACCCACGCAGCCAGTAGGAGGAACCCTCCACCACCAGGGACGGATTCGCGCCACCATCACCATGGAAGGACGAGAATTCGTGGCCACCCTGGACACCGGAGCTACGCATAGCTTCATCAGCGAGGACCTAGCCCGAGAGCTAGGCAACGCGGACAACACGCGAGATATTCGCACACAAGTCAAGTTGGCCGACGGGACATGCCGGGACCTGACTCGGGCCCTCGCCGCCAATATACACCTGGGGAGCAAACGCGCTCCAACCGTCCTGCTAGTGATGAGCGAAGTCCTTGACGACGTTCTCCTAGGCATGGATTTTCTTTGCAGGATCGGAGCCACCATGCAGTGCGGGGGACAGACCCTTAGCCTGATGCCTGACCAGTACACGGAGCCACCATGGGCTCAAGAACGAGCCAACGCAAGACGCCGGAGGGAAGAGCCACGCTCTGTCCACTTTGAGGAGCCACACTCCAACCCCCACGGAGGGCCACGCCCTACGCCGCAGCCGAGAGAGCCACGCTCTCAACCCTTAAGCCCGCCGGCCGAGTCACACTCTGCCCGCCGGGAGCCAGCGACGACGGAGCCACGCTCCAGCAACACGGAACCAGCAACGGCCAGAGAACCACCGCAACCGGCGCCACGCGCCCGCCCTCGGGGCACAGCCCTCGAAACCAACCGGGAGACCGCCAGCACCACGCCTGCCGGAGAGGAGAGCACATCCTCCCGGAGGTCGGCAGTCATCTCGGGCACAGACCCGTCCACGACGGGAAACCAGCCGCCAAGTTGGAGCCACGTCTTGCCTGTGGCGGATGCCACCGCCGCGCAGCGAAATCCATTTCGCACCTCCATGAAGCGTGTCCGTTTCCAGGACCACGTCGAGGAAACGGCGGCGCAAGACTCGCCTCTCTGCGGAAACATTAACTCGGTGAGTCACCCCGCTGGGGATCCAGATTCAACCGAGGCGGAAGAGCTCGAGACCCACAGCTACCCAGAGCCCTGGGTAGAGGAATTCCTGGAGAAGGAGTTGGCCTTGTTCGAGAATCTTTCAGGGGTGTCCCACATAGCGGAGCACCACATCATCATGCGCAGCGATCGGCCACTGAAGCAGAGATACTTCCCGAGGAACCCGGCCATGAGGGCCATCATCGACAAACAGATCGACGAGCTTCTTCGAGACGGGCGGATCGAGCCCTCGAAGAGTCCGCACAGCGCGCCCATTGTGATTGCGGCGAAGAAAAACGGAGACGTACGCATGTGTGTTGACTACCGTCAACTCAACGAAAACTCGGTTCCCGATGCCTACCCGCTCCCGAGGATTCACCAGATTCTGGAACGCCTCCGGAACGCCAAGTTCATCTCGACGCTGGACTTGAAGAATGGATACTGGCAGATACCAGTAGCCCCGGGCAGCCGAGAGTGTACGGCTTTCACCGTTCCCGGCAGAGGATTATTCCACTGGCGGGTGATGCCGTTCGGTCTGCATTCCGCCCCTGCAACGTTCCAGCGCGCTTTGGATACAGTCATCGGGCCTGACATGGAGCCGCACGCATTCGCCTACCTGGACGATATCATCGTCATAGGCTCAACGCTGGAGGAACACGTCGCCAACCTTCAAGAGGTCTTCCGACGCCTGCGCAATGCGAACTTGCGCCTGAATCGAGGGAAGTGCCACTTCTTCCAACGCCACATCGTCTACCTGGGACATGTGATCAGCGAGGCGGGCATCCATACAGATCCGGACAAAGTTGCCGCGATCCGCGAGCTGAAGCCACCAACTTGCCTAAAGGAGCTCCGGAGGTGCCTTGGGATTTCATCCTGGTATCGCCGCTTTGTTCCAAACTTCGCCGACGTGGTCGAACCCATGACCGCGTTGCTGAAGAAAGGCCAAAAGTGGGAGTGGACATCGAGGCAGGATCACGCTTTTCAGGAACTGAAGGCGCTACTAACGAAGGCACCGGTCTTGGCCTGTCCGGATTTCGGCCAGAAGTTCGTTCTACAGACGGATGCCAGCGAGTACGGAATAGGAGCCGTATTGACACAGACCATCGAGGGACAGGAAAGAGTTGTCGCCTATGCCAGTCGCCGGCTCAACCCGGCCGAGAGGAACTACTCCGTTACGGAGAAGGAGTGCCTCGCCATCGTCTGGGCAATCAGGAAGATGCGATGCTACCTCGAGGGGTACCGTTTCGACGTGGTGACGGATCATATCTCGCTGAAATGGCTGAATTCGATCGATAACCCGACGGGCAGGATTGCACGCTGGGCTCTCGAGTTGCAGCAGTACCAGTATGACGTCCATTACCGGAAAGGGGCCCAAAATCTTGTGGCCGACGCCCTTTCTCGCCAACCGCTGCCTACCGCGCAGCAAGCACAGGTACAAGGAGTCAACTGCCGCTGGATCAAGAAGATGCTTCAGAAGATGCGGACAGAACCCGCCAAGTTCCCCGACTACAGGGAGGAGAACGGACAACTCTATCGCCGCATTGGTCTCCGGCCAGAAGAGGAGGAGTACACGCCATGGAAGCTGTGCGTTGGGTCGGATTACCGCCAACGCGTCCTCGAGGAATGCCATGACCACCCAACCGCCGGACACTTGGGAATCCGGAAGACTAGTAATCGCGTGGCTCAGCGATAGTACTGGCCGAGTTTATTCCGCGACGTCGCGCGCTATGTTCGTCACTGTACGAGTTGCCAGAAGTTCAAGGTAAGCCAGGAGAAACCTGCGGGGATGATGTTCACCCGCCAGGTCGACGAGCCATTCCAGGTTCTCTGCGCGGACTTCGTTGGACCGCTTCCACGATCAAAGCAAGGCAACACCATGCTGTTGGTGTTTCTGGATGCCTTCAGCAAATGGGTGGAGTTGGTGCCACTACGAAAAGCCACTGGAGCACAGCTTGAACGCGCTTTTCGGGAACGGATCCTGAGCAGATTCGGAGTGCCGAGGACCTTCGTCTGCGACAACGGCACGCAGTTCACAGGGCGATCTTTCCAGAACTTCTGCAAATCGCTGGGCATGGAGCTGCAGCACACGGCGCCGTATACGCCAAGGCAGAACCCGACGGAGAGAGCCAACAGGACGATCAAGACGATGATCGCCCAGTACCTGGATGGAGGCCCGCAGAACACATGGGACCAGTTGTTGCCGGAAATCTCCCTGGCCATCAACAGCAGTATCTCCGACACAACAGGATTTAGCCCAGCTTTCCTGACGCAAGGGCGAGAACCGAGGCTGCCACGGACTCTTTACGACGAGCTCACACCAGGACGAGGCACCCCAGAGGTGGCCCCAACGGACCGAAGCCAGCAGCTGAAGGACATCTTTCGAGTGGTGCGAGACAACTCCGAGCGCGCTACGGCGGATCAGGGCCGACACTACAATCTGCGCCGACGGACTTGGAAGCCGCCGGTAGGATCTCTAGTGCTGGTGAGACGCCATGCACTCTCCAACGCGGCTGAAGGATTCGCCGCCAAACTGGCCGCGAGATACGAGGGACCCTTTCGAGTGGCGAAGTTCTCTTCACCAAACATCGTCCAGCTACAAGTACCCGGCAGCCGCCGACGTCGTACTGCGAGTTTGGGACAGCTGAAACCCTACCGACAGGGAGAAGCAGATGACCACGCCGAAGGCGCGATCGATGACAGCGACTACGAGGAAGACCACGCCGAGGACGCGCAGAACCCAAAGCAGTCAGACGCCGTCGACACGAGCCCTGGGGAGAACTGCCCCACTCCACGCCGCCGCCACTAAGCCACGCCCCACTCCACGCCGCCGCCACTAAGCCACGCCCCACTCCACGCCGCCGCCACTATGCCACGCCCAGAACGAAAGATGGCCATGTTCAGAGGGGCCACTTGCTGACAGGCGCGCCTGTCCAACGCTCCTACCCCCTAGGGGGAAACATGCGCCCTCTCTTTCGCAAAACTTAGAAATCGAGCAACTCTCGGTTGGGTAGGGTCCTTGGAAAGCGCCCCCTAACAACGCCGTCTCTTTTGTTCTTTTCTCTCCACAGACACATCGATCATCACGCAGCACGAACGCACACGGTGCAAACAGCAAACAGCAACAGAGACGCGACCACCGCCCACAGGCAACCGCCAGCGAATACACGCACGCACCCTCGAGGATCCAGCGCACGGCAGCGCTGATCACACGCGCTTCGCACCCCGCCCACGATCCCGAGCACGGCCGCATCACCACCACCCGGACCAACGATCTCGCCAAGCAAGTGTCAGGCACCACGATGTCATCGTCCAGGGACGACGCCTGGATGGGGCTCGCCCTTGAGGAGCTGCTGAACGGTCTCCAGATGGGGCATCGCCCCCAACCTTCACCCCTCACGCCACTCAGTGTGGCCGGAATCCGCAGACGAATCCCGTCCGCGGAGCAGGTAGACGTCCCGCCGGATCACCGCTTCGGCCCAATACGGGTGGACACCACCCCGCCACGACCACGGCCAGCCGAGGCCGCCCGCACGCCTGCCGACCAGGGCAAGCAGCCAAACACGGATCAGGGGCCGCCGCCTTTGGTCCCGCTACACACGACCCGGGCTCCATCAACTCAGACCACCCAGAAGCAGACCACAGGAGGGAGGCCATCACCACGGGCAGCGCCACAGACAGCCGGCCCGTCGACGCGTCCGCACACTGGCCAGTTGTCCACGACGCCTACCGGCAACCAGGGGCAGCCCCCACGGGCAGCACCTCGAGCAACCGCTCCATCAACGCGCCCGCACACCGGCCGGGCCGCCACGACAACGTCTACCGGCCACGTCACCCCATCACCACGAGCGACGCCGCGAGCTGCCCTCGCTTCGGCACGCGCACGCACCGGCCCGACCCCTACAGCGCCTGGGACACGCGCAGTCCAGGCCATAGCACCGCTGGTCCCGTCAGGGGCTCCAGCGGCACCGGACCCAGACGTCGAGGTGGAAGCGGCGCTACGAGAGTGCCTTGGCGACCTTCCACCCGACATACTGGAGGAGATGGCCCGCGGGGCAGAAGGATTAGATCTGGAGGACCTCTTCGGGGAGTCCCCCGACGAGGACGGGGTAGAGCTCCCAACGCGCCCTGCCTCCAATCAATCCACCGACGAGCCAAGGACCCCGTCACCTCAAATCCAGCCGGACTATGAGGAGATCTCCAGCGACGAGGGAGTGGCGGCCGAGATCATCCAGATCTCAGACTCCGACGACGCCGAGCCAAGCTTCAGACCGCCGGGCACCCCGCCTCCGGCGTACGAGGATATTTTCGGGCCAGGCCCTTACGCTACCAGCTGCCCGATACCCACTTGCGCGGCCTCAACGCCGAGCCAGTCACCGCCAACCACGTCACGTGGATACCACGCCGCCGCCGCTCCACGCCGGGCAGATGGCCCAGCGACAAGCCGACTCGTCGACTTGACGACCGACGAGGACTCTGCCAACGAGAGACCAGCCGTGGCCGTACCGACTCGCCCCCCCGCTACCCACACCCGGCGAATACGCCGCGGCAGTGGCCCGACGCAGGGCCGAGGAGCTGAGTGACGAGCTGGGCTCGTCTTCCGCCGGGCCGGTTCAGCCAACAAACCCGGAGCCACGTTCGGCCAGGGACCGGCCACCCACACCAGCACCAGCACGCCGAGGCCGCCGACGGAGCGCGCCCTGGGCGGATAGTCCCAGCGGATCCTCGTCCGAGGAGGAGTTACCACGCGATCGCCAGGGTCACGCCCGCTGGCTACCAGTTCCCGACGGCTGGAGCACGCCCAACGGCACGCTACCCGCCGGGCTCATCCGGAGGATCCAGCAGCGACTCCTAATCGCCAGACGGAGGGCCCGGCGCTATCTAGAGGAGGAGCAGGGTCAGCGATTCCGGGTGCAGTTGAATCGGGACGACCACGTCCGGGTCTTCCTACACCCCACCCGGAAGTGAGGAGGGAGTGTGACGACACGTTCGGTCGCCACAACATTATAAATATGTATATAAATACAATCTAAGCTTATAATTACGATACCTAAAATTAAGACTAAAATTAAGACTAAAGTTAAGCACACGCACACACACACACACCACCCGGCACGAAGCCATACACACGCACACACACACACCACCCGGCACCACCCGGCACCCATTTGTCTTCGCCCGGACATATTCGCGGTGCTGTTCGGGAAATGCATGCGGGAGGGGCTCTTCCCCTCAAGATGGAAAGCGCAGAGACTGGTTCTGCTGCCCAAGCCGGGAAAGCCGTTAGATGATCCAGCATCCTTCAGACCCATTTGCCTGATAGACGGGGCCGGCAAGGTGCTGGAACACCTAATCAGCACGAGACTGGAGAGGGCAATCGTAGCGGCAGGAGGTCTCTCTGACTCCCAGTACGGGTTCAGAAAGGCCAAGTCTACCGTCGACGCCATCTCCAAGGTGGTGGACATTGCCTCCGCGGCGATCGCCGGACAGCGATGGAAAGGGGGCTCTAAGGAGTATTGCCTTATTGTCACCCTGGACATACGCAATGCATTCAACACGGCGAGATGGGGCCGGATAATGGATGCCTTGTCCAACTTCGGAGTTCCCACCTATCTGCTTAACCTGATGCGGAATTACTTTCACGACAGGGTGCTGCAGATAGACTCGGACAGCGGTACTCAAGCGGTCGAGCTGTCGTGCGGTGTTCCACAAGGGTCCGTGCTTGCGCCACTTTTGTGGAATGCAATGTACGACGGTGTCCTCCGGCTTCCACTACCAGGGAGAACGGAGATTGTGGGCTTCGCAGACGACATAGCGGTGGTCACCGTCGCTAAGGAGATCGCAGGAGCAGAGGAGACCAGCAGCCGGAGCATAGCCATAATCAACGAGTGGCTGTCGAACGCCGGACTGCAGCTAGCGCCGCAGAAAACCGAAGCCGTCCTGGTGAGCAGCAGGAAGAAGGTGGAGGTGGCTAGCGTGCGGGTCTGCGATGCATCGGTCAGATCTTCTAGAGCTATTAAATACCTAGGAGTGATGATCGACACCAGACTCTCCTTCAGGGAACACCTGACGTACGCAAGCTCCAAGGCTGCCACGACAGTAAGAGCACTCTCAAGGATCATGCTGAACCATCACGGCCCAAGACAAGCGAGCAAGCTCCTCTTAGCGAGCGCAGCTAGAGCAACTATGCTATACGCAGCCCCCGTATGGAGTCACGCCGTGGCGACGCCTTCTTACGGCCGCGGGCTGATGGCCGCACACCGTCTGGCCGCTCTTCGCATTTGCAGTGCGTTCCGGACGGTCTCCGATCAGGCGGCGCTAGTCATAGCGGGCACCCCGCCGATAGATCTGCTTGCCAAGGAACAGGCCGACGTCTTCAAAAAGGTCCACGGGCAAGCCCTGTCGCCCCGCGAGAAGAAGGAGGCAAAAGCAGAGGCGAAAATGGCAACGCTAACCGCGTGGCAATCACGTTGGGATGCCTCCACAAAAGGCCGGTGGACGCACCGTCTAATCCCGTGCCTGGAGACGTGGACCATGAGAAAACACGGACAGGTAAATTTCTTCCTGACCCAGGTACTTAGTGGCCACGGGTGCTTTAAGGGCTACCTACATAGGTTCGGCCACGAGGAGAGTGGAGGCTGCAGTCGATGCGGCCAGGACGTGGAGGAGACAGCTGAGCACGCGCTGTTCTCGTGTGCTAAATTCGAGAGCGAGCGGCGCGCGGTGGAGTCCCTTCTACATACCAGCATTAGCGTGGAAAACCTCGTTGCAGTGATGTTGAGGAGCGAAGAAAACTGGCAAGGAGTCTCCAGCTTTGCCGCCGCGATCATGGGTAAGCTCAGGATCGAGGAGAGGCGCAGGAATCAGGAGGAGTCTTAGTCTGGGAGCGGCGCCCGCGCGAAGCAATGCTTCGCGGCCTTACCGCGCGAGTGAACTGCCCCCTTCTAATGTTAACCCACACCCTTCCCTTATGTTCATGCCCCCCCCCTAATGCTAAATAAACGAATTTAAAAAAAAAAAAAAAAAAACCACCCGGCACGAAGCCATACACACGCACACACACACACACACACATCACCCGGCATGAAGCCAACGGCATGAAGCCAAATAAACCCCGCGAAGGGAAATTCAAAACAAGCATTAAGCCTTAACGTTACGCGCGCAAGTGGCAACGCTGTCGGCGATAGTGGCAGAGCCTGGCAACGCCAAGATCGATCGCGGCAGCGCTGCCGGCAGAAACTAGGTCACGGCCACACTCGGAAAATTAGGTCAATTTAATCCTCGCCTAATTCTTAACCGCGCAAGTCGTGCCGCTCCGGAGTGTAAAAAGTTTAAGTGCCAAACCGCGTGTTCGTGTCAAGGGAAACATCCTGCAGGACCTTCGAAGGCATCCGCTTCGAATCGTGGGTGAGCATGGCCGCCGGCCATTAAATATATTGGGATCTACCCCGCCCCTTGCCACAGTAACTTTAATTGAGAATAAAATATAATTAGAAAACCATGTGCTTGCATCAAATTGTGCGTTTTCCCTGCCTTCGTTTGCGGGCCGGCGCCCCCTCGCCGGCAGTGACCAATTCCCCTCCCGCTTTCCCCGTAGCATCGAAGTAATTCCGGGTGCGGGCGAAAGCCGGACGGGAACAGGAGCCCGTGGCTGCTGGATCTTTCCGAGCCCGGACTTGCCGCGAGGCCGCCGGTCCCCTTTTCCCCCTTGCCCCTCAGAGAGCCATCCCGCTGCTGGATTTTTCCGGGCGAGGATCTGGGGTTGGTCGCTGGATTTTTCCGAACCAACTGTCCCGCTGCTGGATTCTTCCGAGCGTGGACGCAGGCATCGGCTGCTGGATCGTTCCGAGCCTTTGTCCTGTCCCAACGGACGCCGCGCTGCTGGATCCTTCCGAGCGTGGGCGTAGGCGTGGTTGCTGGATCATTCCGAGCCCTCTGAGCAATCCTGCCACTGGATTCTTCCGGGCGAGGATTCGGGGCTGACTGCTGGATTTTTCTCCGAGTCAGTGGTCCCGCTGCTGGATTCCTCCGAGCGTGGACACAGGCCTTGGCTGCTGGATCCCTCCGAGCCTTTGTCCTGCCCCGAAGGCGCCCCGCTGCTGGATCACTCCGAGCGTGGGCGTGGGCGTGGCCGCTGGATAACTCCGGGCCGCTCGTCTCGCCGCTGGATAATTCCGGGCGCTGACGTGGGCTTGACCGCTGGATTATTCCGGGTCGCCTGGTTTTCCCTGGCCAAATAATCCCGTACAAATATTTACTTCCCCATTTTCCCCGCTAGCTGGCCAGAAAATTATCGGCGCTTCTCCGTTCTGGGTGTCTCACAAATTATAAATTTTGTGAGGGGACTCTGGGCCGCTGAGGATCACCCCGGCCGCCTAGACGCTTCCTTACAAGCTAGTAATTCCTTTTGTATAGAAGAATAGATTTTCTCGTGGTCATTCAATGTCCTACTGGCAAAGCAAATTGGATGACTATCTTGTTGCAGAACTGCGCATAAAGCTATATTACTAGCATCAGTAATAAGTTGAAATTTCTTTTTGAAATCCGGATACTTAAATAACGGTTCCTCAGTTATGATTCTCTTTAACTTTTCAAATGCAATCATATAGTTGGGTTCCTCAATATCAATCTTTGCATCCTTTTTAAGGCATTTAATCAATGGATAAGCTACTTGGGAGAAATCCTTTATGAACTTTCGATAATACGCAGCGATTCCTAGGAAAGCTCTAATTTGCTTAACATTTATTGGAATTTTAATCTGAAGAATGCTTTTAACTTTTTCTGGGTTAGGTTTTACTCCTTCGGGGGTTAAAACATGACCCAAAAACTGAGTTGAAAAAAATTTGCATTTGTTGATTTGGATCTTCAGATTTGCTTCAGAGAGTTTTTTGAATATTGTGTGAATATGGCCAATATGTTCTGAAAAACTGGTGGAAAAAATAAGAACGTCATCAAGATAGACGACACGAATTCTATTTATTTCTTCTTTTAAGACTGTGTTTATAAGACGTTGAAATGTGGCAGGAGCGTTTTTGAGCCCAAATGGCATCCGATTAAACTCGTAGTGGCCGTGAGGGGTAGAAAACGCTGTCTTTTCCCTATCTTGTTCCTGAACAAGAATTTGGTGAAAGCCTTTCGCGAGATCTATAGTAGAAAAATATTGTGCTCTTCCTAACTTATCCAATATACCTTCTATATTTGGGATAGGAAATTTATCGTCTACTGTGTTTTCATTCAATTTGCGATAATCAATAACTATACGCCATTTTTTTATTCCACTGCAATCAGTTTTTTTGGGTACAAGCCATAAAGGGGCATTATACGGGGAATTGCTCTTACGTATTATTCCCTGTTAAAACATTTCCTCAATTTGTCTATATATTTCTTGCTCATGTATTTGAGGATATCTATAAATCTTGCAGTATACAGGTTTATCCACTACTGTTTTTATCTGATGCTCGATAATATTTGTATTGCTAAGACTCTGACCTTCGAGAAATATTAATGTTTTATATCTATTGGGCAACTTTTTTTTTTGAGTTTTTTTTTTTTTTTGCATTTATTTATAGCTTGGGATGGTGTGTATATGTGTATATGTGTTTTTAGAAATTCGAAATACTTTAGAAGATACAGCCTTTTTTGTGAAGCAAGATCTATGCAAAATGAGCTTTTTTCAAACCTCAAACGCGTTTATCTCGAAACCACGTTTTTCGAACTGGCGGCCATTATATCTCCAGTTCAACTGAACCGATTTTCATGAAACAAAGTGGAATCGACGCAGAATTGTCACCATTTTCGGCTGATGGAACAGATTTTTTTTTAATTTTTTTGTCTATTTTTTTTTACACTAAACTACAAAAAAAACGCCCGAAATCGATTTTTTTTTTTTGAATGGCCGCCATTTTATTTTAAAAATTAAAAAAAAAAATCTGTTCCGTCAGCCGAAAATGACATCTATTCTGATTATA